GCCGATGCCCCGGCTTCCCTTCCCAGGTGCTGCTGCACGTGCTGTTCGAGCACGCGGTCGGCTACACGCTGCTGGCGCTGAAGGAGGTGGAGGAGATCAGCCTGCTGCAGCCGCAGGTGCGTGGAAGCGGTGGGCTCGCGGGCCGCCACGACCCCAGCATGCACTGCGCGCTCCCACGTGGCCGACAGCACGCGTTGGGGTATGCGCTGAGCCGGGAAGCTCCTTTGAGAGGGTCCTTGTCTTCCTTAGTGATTAGAATCGCCTTAGGATCATTTAGAATCCTCCCACCCTGTACCGCCGAAGCAGAACCGGGATTTAGGGCCCTTGATAGGTTCATTCCCTTAGGCGTTCAGCCAGGTCTTCTGTATGGCCAGGGCTGAGAACCGCCGCTTTACTGCGCCCTACAGGCAAGAGCGAAGGAAGGAAGACACTTACCCTTTCTCCCCTCCCTCCATCCCCCCAGGTGGAGGAGTCCGTGCTCAATCTGGGCAAGTTCCACAACATCGTCCGTCTCGTAGCCTTTTGTCCCTTTGCCTCGTCCCAGGTTGCCTTGGAAAATGTCAACGCCGTGTCTGAAGGTGAGTAAGCTACCTCCAGGTATTTCAGGAAGATACGCCAATTTGTAGGTCCTGCGATTGTCTAGTTCCTTTTCCTAGGGAGCTTGTGATAGTATTTGCCTTTCCTCGTCTAGTTTGTGCTAAATCTGAAATGTTTTGGGTAGTATTTGGTGTGTACAGGATGTAATTTAGAGTAGTCTTAGCAGAGTTCAATATCTCGGGGATATGGTAGGCTAAATGTTATATTTAACTCACTTAGTCCAGCGTGCAGCCTTAGACCTCTTGGTCCCAGAAAGCAGGTTGGGAACGAATTATTTTCATGGTGCTCCAGGGTATGTCTTAAGCTTTCAGTTATGCATTTCACACTTGTACTGTTGAACCTGAGTGCTGCTCCTCCCGTGGTTAATGCAGGCTTTGCAGTGATGACTTGAATCTGTCAATCCCCTGAGTGCAATCATTGATGTCTCTCTGTCTCTGAGCAAAGCCGAAAGGGGAGGGATATAGGCACACCATCCCAGCATGCTCTGCTGGACCAGTGGTCTGTCAATCAACAGTTGAAGTGACAGGATCACTTTTGTGATTTAAGCATTCTTCAGTCTGTTAGTGGGAGCTCTGTTTTCTGCCCTGAGGTATTGTTCATGAGGATCTCCGCCTGTTCTTGGAAACATACCTGCCAACCAAAAAGAAGAAAGTACTCCTGGGGGTTGGGGACCCCAAGATTGGTGCTGCTATACAAGAGGAGTTAGGGTACAACTGCCAGACTGGAGGTGTGATAGCTGAGATTCTTCGAGGTGAGACCATCTGTTAACATTTATGCCATTCTTGACCTAATTGAGGAGGGTTCTGGAAACATTAGCGTGCCTAGGGTTGCTTCGGGGTAGCTGTCCTGCTTGGCTGTTGCCTGTGGGTGCAGGAGCTAGCTAAGAGCCTTTCCTTGCTCATAGTTTTACCCTCCTCCAGGAGTTCGCCTGCACTTCCACAACCTGGTGAAGGGCCTGACTGATGTGTCTGCTTGTAAAGCCCAGCTGGGGTTGGGACACAGCTATTCTCGGGCCAAAGTTAAGTTTAATGTGAACCGGGTGGACAATATGATTATACAGTCCATTAGCCTCCTGGACCAGCTGGATAAGGACATCAATACCTTCTCCATGCGTGTCAGGTAAGGGGAAGGATGGCCTAGCTCATTTTGGATCCTGAGATGACTCCTGTGGGCAGATCTATGTGGGGTGGGGCTGGGCCTCCTGGTGCTTACCACAGGCTGTGTTCTTACACTGACTGTATAGAAATAGGAGGCAGAGTAAACTTACCCCATATACACCTCAGCTCAGGCTCTTTGCCTGGTCTGTATTGTGAATGGGGAGACACTGAGTCAGGGAGGTTTGGGATCTGACTAGTTTTCACTTCCTCTTGGGCAAAGGCTAGCTGTGGCTATATCTTTATTTGAGACATGGCACCTCAGCCAGGGAGTGATTGTGGCTCTTTGCAGGGAGTGGTATGGGTATCACTTTCCTGAGCTGGTGAAGATAATCAATGACAATGCTACATACTGCCGAGTCGCTCAGTTCATTGGAAACCGAAAGGAGCTGAATGAAGAAAAGTTGGAGGAGCTGGAGGAGCTAACAATGGATGGGGCCAAAGCTAAGGCTATCCTGGACGCCTCACGGTCCTCCATGGGTCAGTACAGAGCCTGGCAGCCAAAGTAAGGTATGGGGCTATGAATATCTGGCTCTTACGTTCCTACTTGGTGTCTTTCAGGCATGGACATATCAGCCATTGACTTGATAAACATTGAAAGTTTCTCCAGTCGTGTGGTGTCTTTGTCAGAGTACCGCCAGAGTCTGCACACTTACCTGCGATCCAAGATGAGCCAAGTGGCCCCCAGCCTGTCAGCCTTAATTGGGGAAGCGGTGAGTCATGGGAAACAAAAATGGGGGGATAAGGAATGTTACAGTGTATATATCCATACGGCTGTGTTTCTTGACCGACCATGTTTTCCCCATGCACTTGATAGGAAGAGGTAAGGCAGGATTATGCAGCTGGTCGGTTGGCAAACCCAGCTTCTCTGACTAATTCCTTAAATCCTTCTCCAGGTAGGCGCACGTCTCATTGCTCATGCTGGCAGCCTCACCAACCTGGCCAAGTATCCAGCATCCACAGTGCAGATCCTTGGGGCTGAAAAGGCCCTGTTCAGGTACCAGTGAGGGCACCTGCCCGCACTCAGGTGCCACTTCTGGTGTCCACTACTTGTTTGGGGAATCACAGTGATGGCTAACCAGGGCATCCTGACCTATACAGGCCTCTGCTATGGGGGTGATGGCCTGTCCTGGTGTCTGAGTGATTCCCAGGGCCCAGCAAAGGGACCAAGTTTCCAGGTCAGCGACATTGGATGCCTTCTCTCTGCCTTGGGATCTGTGGGTTGGCATGAGGTGGGATAGACCCACCCCAGCCTAAGGCTCACTCCAGAGTTTAAGGGAAAGGGGAGGGGAAGAGCTGCCTTGGCTAATAGGGTTGAAATTTCTGATCGTAAACTCTCCACTGAATATTCTTCTCCCAGAGCCCTGAAGACAAGGGGTAACACCCCAAAATATGGACTCATTTTCCACTCCACCTTCATTGGCCGAGCAGCTGCCAAGAACAAAGGCCGCATCTCCCGATACCTGGCAAACAAATGCAGTATTGCCTCGCGAATTGATTGCTTCTCTGGTATGGGTGAGGGAGTGGCATTTGTGAGAAGGGGCTGGGAGGGAGTGGGGAACTCAATACCTTAGCTTCCACAATGATGGTAACATTTTTCGTCAACAGCAGTTCACCTAGTGAGTGTTGATACTTTGGGTCTGAGTGAAGCTGAGGGTAGAGGAAATACTGGGGATGAGGAGGAGTTTGTCCCTTTAGGAGCTGACAGGCTTTGTTTACCCACACACACACACATCCAGAGGTACCCACAAGTGTATTTGGGGAGAAGCTTCGAGAACAAGTGGAGGAGCGGCTATCCTTCTATGAGACTGGCGTGATTCCACGGAAGAATTTGGAGGTCATGAAGGAGGCAATGGTACAGGTCAGTTTGGGCTTTGCTGGGTGGGGCTTTGCATAACTACCTGTTGGAGGTGATGAACTGTCTTAGCCTGACCTTGTAGAGTGGAGGCCAAAAAACTGATTTAATGAGCCTGATCCAATGAAGCCAGGAGGGAAACCTCTGTCAGTCCAGAGCTCTTCAGAGCCGTTCAGCACTTTTCTTTGGCCAGGCAGAGGAAGCGGCTGCTGAGATTACTAGAAAGCTGGAGAAACAGGAGAAGAAACGCTTGAAGAAGGAAAAGAAACGGCTGGCTGCGATTGCCCTTGCATCTCCAGAAAACAGCAGCAGTACACCAGAGGAGTGTGAGGTCAGTAGGCAGATCCTGAGTGAAAATTCTGGGTTGTAGGATTTTCAACAGTAGAACAAAGGATGTGACCTCAAAGTCATAGTCTTGAGTCCAGGCCTTTGGACTGAAACAAGGACTTGAAACCTCTAAAACTGCCTCTTGATTCTATAGGAAGGAGATAGGTGCTGAGAGAACTTGCTCAAGAGCCCAGAGAGCTGGTTGTAGCACACTGGTTCCCTGGGCAAGTGTGTTCTGTCCTCGGCTGCCTGCCAGGAGTCCTCAACTGGGGGTAGTGTGAATTCCTACTGTTTGTTCTTGATTCTCGGCTGTGTGTCTTCCCTGGGATTTTCATAGCGCCCAGTTTGTCAAACAGTATTTCAGGGTCCCCTCTGGAACTAGGCATGATGGTTTTATTGTGACCAACATGATGGGGTTTTCTCTTATGGGCTTAAGTAATTACATCTCTCCCCACCTTTAAGTGGGAGTCACCTTTGGGGCGGATTTCCAGAATTCTACCCATATAAAAACCATCCCAGAAACATTGGACAACTTTACAGCATTTCCACCAGTTTTTCTGCCCTACTTAATTGCTGGAACTCTAATGGGGTGGGGGCTGGGAGTGTTGATACAGTGAGTGACAGTTTCATGCCCATTTCCCCCTTTAGGAGACAAATGAAAAACCCAAAAAGAAGAAAAAGCAAAAGCTCCAGGAGACTCCTCAGGAGAATGGAACAGAAGACCCACCCGTTTCTTTACCCA